CCTTCCTTCCTTCCTTCCTTCCTTCCTTCCTTCCTTCCTTCCTTCCTCTTTCAAAAGGGCATATTTTAGAATTAAGAGGCAAAAGGCTTGCCAGATTAGCTCTGGCCATGAATAAGATCAACCCAGGGTATTCTCTGCATCTTCATGTCATCTTAGCAAGTAGCAGTCCCAGCCAGCTTTGAAAAGCCGCCATATATGGGCTATATTCTGGAACGGTTTTGGGTGCCACTCTCCTGGAATGACTTAGCTTCAGGGATCACATCTTCTGCTTGCTGTCTCTCAGGATGGATATCGGACACTCTGTGTGGCCTACAAGGAAATATCACCCGCAGTCTACAAGGTCCTAGAAGCCCAGATTAAAGAAGCCACTGTGGCTCTACACAACCGAGAAGCCAGGATGGCCAAGGTCTTTGATGATATTGAGAAGGACATGCGTCTGATTGGCTCCACTGCTGTAGAAGACAAGTAAGCCCCACTGGCTAGTTCAGATAACCCATCGCGCCTTCCAAGGCAGTTGAAGTCTCAACATATTTTAATCAGTTTTGATCAGATGGTGGTATGGTGTGCCCAGATTATTCTGTTCAAGTGGGAAATTTTTCATTTGCCAGTTTATTAGCCCCATGAGTAATGGCATGCTTTGTAGACCATTGTTCCTCAAACTTTCTGCGTTCAGAAAATGTGGGGACAACCCAATTAAACACCCCTTCTCTTCTTTTTTGTTCAAGGATCAGAGGGGCTTTTGGGAAGGAAGGGGAATAAGCAATGTGATACCTTTTAAAAAGCCTTTTAAACTAAATTTGGTACCCAAAAGGGTACTGCAAAATTAAGGATGTGTTTGCCATTTGAATGGTGTAAAGTATCCCACACTGTAATAGCCACAACTATTCATACCAGCCAAGAATGCTGTGATAGAAATGTTTGATAGGTTGAGTACCTCAGCTAGCTACAGAAGATGGGACTTCTAGATCAGAAGATCCGGTGAGGGAAATTGGCAAATAAAGCTCAAAAATTGCATTTGTGTGTGGGAAATCCAGTGGTGGTATGCTAGTGGTTCGGACCGGTTCAACTGAACCGGTAGTAAAAAAAAAAAAAAAAAGCCTCCTACGATCTGCTGAGAGGAGGAAAAAAATGCTGGAAGATCAGCTGAATTCTTCTACACGTTCTTCTTGTCTTTGCTGTTCTTGGTGGGTTGCTATAAGTAGCTCAAGTGCTTCCTTGCTACATATGTGTTCTGAAGGGCCCCTTCCCTAAAAGGGAACCCAGTGATTTGTCATTTTGAGGGGAGGGAAAAAGGGGGAAAATAGAGAGGAAGCTTTGAGGAAGATCCCACTGGTTGGTTGAGTCATTTTCACCGATTTTCCTGCAGGCTCCAGGATTTTGCAGCTGAAACCATTGAATCCCTCCACGCAGCAGGCATGAAGATCTGGGTGTTGACAGGGGACAAGCTGGAGACGGCCCAAGCTACCTGCTATGCAAGTCGCCTCTTCCACACCCACACAGAGCTACTGCTCTTGACAGCAAAAACGGTGGAGGAAGGTGACAGAAAAATGGAGCGGCTTCACGAACTGCTGATGGAGTACCACAAAAAGTTGGTGACCGACGCGCCCCCAGGGAAGAAGTGAGTGGGACACTAAGCAGTAACTGAAGCACTGTTTCTCAACCTTGGCATCTTTTAAGAGGTGTGGACTTCAACTCCCAGAATTCCTCAGCCACAGGTGCAGGCTGGGGGATTCTGGCAAATGAAGTCCACACTGTCAAGATTGAATCGCTTAACTTCTTCTCAGCTTCTATCGCTCTTCAACTTGCCACTAGGATGGAAGGGGGAAATGGAATGCTAAGATTTTGTCTACGGACTGTGAGAGCCAAGGTCACTACTGCAGGTGTTAGATGGATACATGGACTGTTCCCATAACAAAAGGACGATCCATTGTTTAACTAAGTGAGTGTTTGCATGAGAAAACCAGAGCTGGTTTTGCTTCTGCAGTTCCGAGATGATGTATCCAATAAAGTTATAGTTTTGGGAAGTGTGTACTTTTTTTGAGTTCGCTATTTGGATCATTCACACACACCTCTTAAAATTCCTGAGGTTGAGAAACACCGGTCTGAAGGGTTGGGAAGATGGGACAGTTGCCATTGTGGCACTTTGCAGTAATCTAGGGTGGGGCCCTCCAATCTTGACAACTTTAAGACTTGTGGAATTCCACCCCCCAGAATTCCCCAGCCAGCATCCATGGCTGAGGAATTCTGGGAGTTGAAGTCCACCAGTCTTAAAAGTTGCCAGATTTGGAGACCTCTGAAGGTAGCCAGAAAGGAGACATCCATGAAGTTGGTCTTTTGTGGCCTGAGGTATTTGGAACTGACATTATTCCTAGTGCATCCCCTTTTATTGTAAGGGCTGATCTCAGTTGGACCTGCCTTGGTCCCATTAAACTACATTGGCTGATATCTTGAGTTCTCCTTGTTTTTCTGCCTGGATGTCTTTCTTGCAGAGAATCCAGAATTGCTATGTTTTCCATCTCTTCCCTTCCTTCTCAGCTAAAGAAGGGTCAACTCATTGAAGTAGCACAGAAAACACATTTTCTTTATATAGTAAAAATTGAAAAAGATATTTGTAAAATAAAATAAAATAAAATAAAACACATTTTCCCACACACCTGACTCTTAAAGGAATTAAAACAGCCAGAAGGGTTGCTACTCCTTGAGTTTCACATATCCTCAACTAGCTCGATACCCGTACCCTGCTAAGAAACTATGTGGTTGGGCTTAGTTTTTTGGGAGGAAAATAAGTGGGGTGGTGAAATATGCCTCTGCCTACCAGCACGTGAGAGAGTTGAGGGCTGTTTGGAAACTAAAGCAGTATTTGGTGTGGGAGCAAGAAGGAAACAGCAAGCAGCCTGGGCGTGGCTTAACTCAACTGTTCCATACTAAAGCTGCTTAATGCTGTGAAACTGAAACTGAAACTCCTCTGCTTGTGTTTTGCATTTGGAAGAGATTTCTTTTTTTCAGGTGGGGAGGGGGAGTAAAACTCCTTAGTATCAGAGCATGTTAATAATACTGTAATAATAATAATATAGGAAATACTCTAAATGCTCTGAGGGTCATTTGGAAAAATCGTTTCTTAGTGAGCCCCTAGAAGCCAAGAGGAACATAGGTGCCAAATTTGAAGTTTGTAGGCTTTACGGTTCTGGAGATTTTGTGATGATGCCTGAGTGGCATTTCGCTTTTATATATATAGATTTTATTTATACATTTTTCTTTAGTAAACATAAAAACTCAATATCTATTTCACTTTTATATATTTAGATTTTTCCTCCTTGGCTCTTCCGACTACAGCTGGGGTCATATCAAGGTCTCCAGCCAACAAGTCACCTTTCTCTATTTCAGGAGCTGGGTATCCAGTTCAGACTACGGACTGGTCATTGAAGGGGCCACCCTTTCCCTGATCATGAACCCTTCGCAAGATTCCAGCTTCTCCCACTACAAGAGCATCTTCCTCCAGATCTGCCTGAAGTGCACCGCCATTTTGTGCTGCCGGATGGCCCCGTTGCAAAAGGCTCAGGTGTGTTGCTGTCCTCTGTAAGTGAGCCAAGCCACTTCTTCCTGTCCCAGCAGAACCTGGCACGACCTCCTTTCTTCCGTGTGAATGTTGGAAGGCACCAGTGGTGGGATTCAAAAAAATTTACTACTGGTTTTGTGGGCGTGACTTGGTGGGTGTGGTGTGATTTGGTGGGTGTGGCTTGGTGGGTGTGGCAGGGGAAGGATACTGCAATATTCCCAATCCCTTCACACCCCACTAACCTGCTTTCCAGCTCCGTTCTCCTGTGCAGGGCAACCAAAGAAGACCTAGCCAACCAGCTGGGACTCAATGGGAGGCAGAGAATAGATGGGGTTGGTGGAGCCAGTCAGAGGTGATATTTGCCAGTTCTCCAAATTACCCAAAATTTCCACTATCAGTTCTCCAGAACTGGTCAGAACCTGCTGAATACCACCTCTGGAAGGCATCTCTTTTGGGAAGCCAATATCTGGTCTGCTGTGGAGTTTGGTCTTCAGAGTGGTGTAGTCCTCAGGAAGCCGGCTCAAAGTTGGGTGAGGAATATCTCCTATCCTGATCCACCATCCATCTCTTCCCCATAGATCGTCCGCATGGTGAAGAATTCCAAAGGCAGTCCCATCACGCTGGCTGTTGGAGATGGAGCCAATGATGTCAGCATGATTTTGGAAGCTCACGTGGGCATCGGTAAGGGATGCTTTGACTCGTAGTGAGGTCTTCTCCCTCTGGGATTGTGTTGGTCAAAGGCAGGAGCCTCCAAACATGGCAACATGCTGGCTGAGGAATTCTGGGAGTTGAAGTCCACAAGTCTTAAAGTCTCCTAGGTTGAGAAACCCTGGACTAGGTCGGGGATCTCCAATCGTGGCAACTTTAAGACTTGTGGCCTTCAACTCCCAGAATTCCTCAGCCAACAAACTGGTTGAGGAATCCAGGGAGTTGAAGTCCACAAGTCTTAAAGTTGCCACGATTGCAGACCCCTGGACTAGGTGATCCTTCTGGTCACTTCCAACTCTATCATTCATGGCTGGCTGAGGAATTCTGGGAGTTGAAGGCCACAAGTCTTAAAGTTGCCACGATTGGAGGCCCCTGGACTAGGTGATCCTTCTGGTCACTTCCAACTCTATCATTCATGGCTGGCTGAGGAATTCTGGGAGTTGAAGGCCACAAGTCTTAAAGTTGCCACGTCTGGAGGCTCCCTTGTCAAAGGAAACGGCGCACATGAGCTCCACAACATATAGGAGCCAGGCTGAGAGAGCTTATATAAACTCTGGATGACCAGGATGTTGAGGCCTCTGATGTACAAGGTGTCAACTCATAAAATATTTCTATGGTCTTTTTAGAGCTGCCAACAGAAAGGGAGGGGGGAAAGAGCAGCGCAGCAGCTTGCAAACCAAAAGTGCATTCCATAAACGTTTTCAAAGATAGTAACTAGGTGACTGAAGTTTCTGCAACGCAAATATGTAATTGGAGAACATGATGGATGATTCTTGGCTATGGATGTGTCTCATTGGAGAATATGAATTACGATACACCCAGAGAGTGGGGGAAAACCAGGGTCAAGGGTGACAGTGAATGATGGGCCTCAGAGTCGGCTGCGCCCAGGCAGTGCCGGACATGTTTAACTCCCAATAAATCTTTTGAAGTTTTGGAAGTTTGGCTTGAGACTCATGATCTAAATGGAGGTAACTGCCGGAATCCTGACAACAAGGTTGACGTGCTCCATTCTTCTCGGCCAGGTATCAAGGGAAAAGAAGGACGCCAAGCCGCCCGGAACAGCGACTACGCCGTCCCCAAGTTCAAACACTTGAAAAGACTGCTCTTGGCTCACGGGCATTTGTATTATGTCCGAATATCTCACCTTGTACAGTATTTCTTCTATAAGGTAAAGGGAATGGCGAATGGGTTTCGTGGAGGTCAAGGGGAAGGCAGATAGCGGGTGAGGGGCCTATGCCACTGCCAGGCCTTGCAGGATGCTTAGCAGAAGGCTAGCAGGGAAGCAAAATGCTCCTGGGAGGAGGGGGCAGAGCCAGCAGTATCCTTGGGGTGGGGGCCAAAACGGGAGAGATGGCGGACAGAAGGGTGGAGTGAAGGACCTGCCCTTTTTGGGCGTCATGTTTGGTGTTGAATTACTCCATTCTACAGGTAATCCTCGACTTAAAACCGCTTACTTAGCAGACTCCATTGCAGTCATAACTCGAGGACTATTTCTAGTCTGTTCTTCTCTGTTCTCCTGTTCTATTTTATGTTCTGTTCTTTTCTATTTTCTATTCTACAGTATTCTATTCTCTGTTCTATTCTATATTCTGTTCTGTTCTTTTCTATATTCTATTCTCTGTTCTATTCTGTTCTGTTATTTTCTATTTTCTATTTTCTATTTTCTATTCTATTCTATTCTATTCTATTCTATTCTACTCTATTCTATTCTATTCCATTCCATTCCATTCCATTCCATTCCATTCCATTCCTATTCCTATTCCTATTCTATTTTATTCTACTACTACTCTACTCTATTCATTCATTATTCTGTTGCATTCTATTCTATTCTACTGTACTCTACTCTGCAAAAAGTACATAAAGATATTAGAAAGAAATGTCTAATGCAAAAGATGACCTACTAATAAAGGATAACAAACCAAGAGAATTGAAAAATGATAAACAACACTATCCCATTTGATGGGAATTCACATCCGAAGGTAGAAAGCAGAAGGCTGGGATAGAATAGATAAAGATTTCTGATTTTCAGTTGTAAAGTGCAGCAGAAAAAACATTTACATCATCTGGTTTTCTTATTAATATGTTTTTCCCCTTTCTTTCTTCCCTCCCCCCCACCCCATGTTTTTTTTTTAGAACCTTTGCTTCATTTTCCCACAGTTTTTATATCAGTTTTTCTGTGGCTTTTCACAGCAGGTAGGTTGCCATCGGTTGGGTGGGTGTTGTTGTTGATGTTGTGATCAAAACAGTGGTGGGATTCAATTTTTTTTTACTACTGGTTCTGTGGGCATGGCTTGGTGGGCGTGGTGTGGCTTGGGTGTGGCTTGGTGGGTGTGGCAGGGGAAGGATACTGCAAAATCTCCATTCCCTCCCCACCCCACTAACCTGCTTTCCAGCTCTGTTCTCCTGTGCAGGCCAACCAAAGTAGACCCAGCCGATCAACTGGGACTCGGGAGGCAAAGAATAGATGGGGACTGGGCCAGTCAGAGGTGGTATTTGCTGGTTCTCCGAACGACTCAAAATTTCTGCTACCAGTTCTCCAGAACTGCTCAGAACCTGCTGAATACCACCTCTGGCTCAAAACTGGTTACCTAATGATTATTTGAAGAAACTATCAAAAAAGTTACTGACGTCCCATCGCAGAAGTTACAACTATCCCTCCAGTCATACAATCACATTTTAGGTGCTTGGCAACCATCTCACATTTACGACCGGTTGCAGCGTCTCGTGGTGATGTGGTCAGGTTTTGCAACACGTTTTGCCATTTTCCCGCACCAAAGATGCCCATTGCATCAGTTGGATTTGGACTTAACGACCAGATGGATCACTTAATCATGTGATCCATCGATTGATAAACAGATTAACAGAGTTGGAAGGGACCTTGTACATCATCTAGTCCAACCCCCCACCCAAGCAGGAGACCCTACACCATTTCTGACAGATGACAGCCCAGTCTCTTCTTGAAAGCCTCCAGTGATGAAATTCCCACAACTTCTGAAGGCAACATCTGTTCCATTGGTTGATGGTTCTCCCTGTCAGAAAATTCCTCCTTATTTCCCAGTTGAGTCTCTCCTTGTTCAGTTTCCATCCATTGTTCCTTGTCTGGCCTTCAGGTGCCTTGGAAAATAGCTTGACCCCCTTCCTCTCTGGGGCAGCCCCTCAACACTGCTATCCTGTCTCCCCTGGCCCTTCTCTTCGCTAGATTCATTTAACGCCCATCCTAAAATGGTTATAAGATCGAGTCCAGTCCCGTGGGGATTCCACAGTCGCAACAACTTCACAACCAAAATTCCAGGATCACTGGTGGCCATAAGTCAAGGACTACCTGTAATTTTGGGTGACAAAATTCTTGTTTCCCTTGCACATTAGGGGATTGGATGGTTGGTAGTACTTTTACGAAGGAGGGCCAGTCTGTATCCCTTCCCAGTTTGGACGACTGGGAGAAGCAGCTCCCACCAGTCGTGTATAAACCACGCCTTTCATTTTGTCTTCTTTTTGGGGGGGAGGGGGGTTGTTTTAAATGGTTCCTCTTGCCAACCCCAGAGAAGTGGTCCTTCAGCCTCCCTCTTTGTCCTGCAAAAATGCAGCTGCTGGCAACCCCCCCCTCTCTCTGCCCTTCCTCCCTCTCTCCCTTCCTCCTTTTGGGATAAAAAAAAGACACCACCCCAGTAACAAAAGTATCCCCTTGCAACCCAAACCACTCCTGCATTGTACTTAAACTCCTGCAAAGGGCAGATGTGAATGGATGAGCAGGGGAAGCTGTTTGTGTGTGTGTGTGTGTGTGTAAGTCCGAACGACTCCAGGTTTCAGTGATTGTTTCCTGAATGAGCCAGCAGCTGTCCCCATCATCTCGGAGTAGGAGGAAGTGGCCTGCAGCTGCCTTCCAAGGCTTCCAAGTTTTCGGCTCCATTCACCCAGAAGGAGTCCTTCTCCTTTTCCTGCCAGCCTGATTGTCCTCCTTAGGTGAGGACCACTGGAGCCACCTCATTAGCTACGTCTTGCCAATGAGCCATTGTTGCAGAAAAATCTCGCTGGGGGAAATAATGAGCAAAACAGACGGTTCCGCAGGGTCCTCTCCCAGCGTGTTTGGTCCAGCTGGACTCAATGAGCGGCATTTTGGTGCTTCGAAGGGCGTCGCTTTCACCTTTCCAATGCAAAACCCACTCTGCTTTGGCTGCTTTGGCTTGTTCCTCAAAAATGTTTTGAGGCATTTTGCCCAAAATAATCATAATCATAATAATCATAGAGTGATTGCCTGGCCCATTGGGTTGGTGAATTGTTGCGTGTCTATGCTAAGAAAAGAGTCGTATGTGTTGGAGGCAACTTTTGTATTTTCCTCACACCTTTTGCCCTGATCATTTCAGGAAACCATGAATGGGGCTTATTTATTTATTCGGTAAATTTATTTATTTAATTTTATTCAATAAATAATTTTTATTCAATAAATCAGATTATATATGTGTGTGTGTGTGAGAGAGAGAGAGAGATCAATAATTCTGATATATATAGATAGATATAGATATATAGTTATAGAGATAGATAGATAGATAGATAGATAGATAGATAGATAGATAGATAGATAGATAGATAGATAGATAGATAGATA